TCCTAGAAAGGCTGCAAGCACTGTCCTGAAATCAGTTGTAATTTGGCCATATAGAAAAAAAATTTATATATATATTATATATAACATATAATAAATATATTATATATAGTAAATATGTATTATATATAGTAATTAATTACTATATAGTATATATTATACATTATATATTATATGTTAAATATATTTTTTATTTATATATACATATATATACATATATATATACACATATATATGTATATATATATGTATATATAAATTTTTTCTCCTTGCTCTTGTTTGGGTTTGCCCTATCAGAGATGATTCTCAAGAAACAACAATTTTCTCCTCTCCTCTATAATCAACTTCTACTTTAATTGTAACCAGCCTGGCTAGTTAGAAGTTAAACAAATTGTTCTTGAGTTCAGAGTGGAAAAGAGGCGAGAATGGGGTGTGCAGGAATAACGGGGGTGCAGATACAGGTGTGCAGTTAGCATTCATTCTCACATGGACAAGCCTAGCTTGATGTGGTAACAAATGACTGGTTACAAGAGAAAAAGACGCCATGGCCTTTGTTCGTTTGTTATTTTTATCTCCTAGCTGTGGAAGACCGAAAATTGTTCATAGGAATGGTTTCCAAGAAATGTAATGAGAATGATATCAGAGTGATGTTCTCTCCATTCGGTCAGATAGAAGAGTGCCGGATTCTCCGGGGCCCTGACGGGCTGAGTCGAGGTGAGTGTGCTCTCTGTAAAGTCTCTTTCCTTAGGTGCTAATTGGAACTCTGTGTCACAAGGGAGATGTAGGCATCGTAGACATCACATCCAGCAGGGGTCAGCTTGCAGTATGTCTCATGTGATCAAGTTATCCAACCTGAACTTTTCTCTGTAACCAAAGTGATCATCTCTTACTTCTCCAGGTGAAAAGGTCTGAGTGCCAGCAGGTCCCATGGAACGCTGGCAGGTTGCCCTACATCTTTACTCCCTTTTCATCCTCAAATTGAGCGGATTTAGGCAACAAGGAGGGAAAGTGGAAGATGAAAATAGATAACCAGACTTTTCTCTGCTTGCCTGAATGGGTGTTAAAGATATGGTCCTCATAACAGCCATACAAGCCTAGAAAGAATGTCATACTCACGAGTGCAGAACAGATACAGTACCTCACAGGAGCTGTCCTGCCCTGTCATGTCAAGTCTCTGGTCCCCAGTCCTGACGTGTAAGTGATAGAAAAATGATTTTGACCTCAAGAAAACTGTAGACTCTACTTTTGCCACAATAGAAGCAAAAGGTGTGTTTAGAGCCATGAGGACTGCTACAGTTTTGTAAGCCACTGTAGGAATCAGTAGGGATCATCCTTCTCTTCCCAGACCCTCTTCCTCCTCCTCAACAAGACCACATACCTCCCTCCTTAAACTACAAGAAGGTTGACAGTATGCATCAATAATTATCTGACTGTACTTTTCCAAGTCAATCCAAAGAGGAGGTGTGTTGTCAAACACTTCAGTTGGTAGAGAGATCTTCATTTGCAGTGCAGTTCCCATGGGGCTGACTAAGCCCTGTGTTCATCCTCATGCTCTGGTTCTGGGCCAGCTCTGGTGCCAACCAGACACTGAAGAAATGGCCACCATAGATGTCACAGTGGTCATTCTCACCTGTCTCACCTAATCAAAACCTGAGAGGAAGGTTTTTCTTTCTACTCTTAGACATAAAGCTTCATGTTGTCAGCTCCTAGAACTAAAATCTCAGGGGACAAACGTCCCACCCACATCCACCTCCAGAGTTCCAGTGGAGGCCATCAGGAGAACTAGGGGATAGAATGGCACCAGCTCTTGTTCCCTGTATCTCCTCTGAAGGTGGTTCTGTGGGCAGGGGGCACTCTGAAGCCATAAGTCATTCACTCTGTCACCTCAGAAACACTTGTTATCTGAGCCTAACATCAATGCTGAAGAAGATACTCAATGTGACTCTTGAACAACAGACTTAGTACCTGAGACAAGGCATACAGAGAGCCTGAAGATATAACAGAAAAAGAGAGGGGGCCAGGGAGGGAGGGAGCCAGAGAGGGAGGGAGCCAGAGAGGGAGGCAGAGAGGGAGGCAGGGAAAGAAATGCCTTTAAATTAGAGTGAAATTTATAGTTGCTCAGGGGTCACTGAGACTTAACTTCCAGTCCCAGAATTTCTAACCTTAGTCAATTTATTTTCCTATTTCTGTCTCTTAGTTTATCCATTCAGAAACTGACAGACAGCAGTGAAATGTGTGTGTCTTGCTTCTCTCCCAGGGCAGCATTAGGACCCAGTCACTGCTTCTCTCACACACTTACTGTCTGGATGGGCGCATAGAGGCCACGAGTATGAAGCTGTGTGCTAGCTTTCTGATGGTTGGCTTAGCCAGCTAGGAAGTGACCCTCTGACCCTCTGCCTCTGCCGTGCAGGGAAGGAAAGCATGTTGAAACGTTTCAGGTGCCTTTAGGTTTACATTAGTGTTCCTGGGAAAGAGCAGAACAGTCACCACTCAGTAGAAGAACTTGACCACTTTGCTCTGCTGTTTGGTTGATTAACTAACACATGACCCTAGAAGTAGCTGGCTGCTCTAATGAGCTATAGGAGCCTTGTTTTTTGTTGTTGTAAATGGATATGCTCAATGTAAAGAAGAGAATACCACCCCACCCCGTTTTTAAACAGAAAAGTAATTCTGGTGAACTGGTGAAAACTCCCTCTTAGAAAAAAGAAAATACTCGTTTATTACCATTCATTCTGAAATACAAAGACAGACAGGGCACATTTTTCAGTTAGTAGGACCTAGGGACTTATGGCCACAGGAGCCTGCTCCTAAATCACTGTATTTGATAAAAGAATAATTCTCTCATGATACTATTTTATTCTCATTAAAGAATTTCAGTTTTCAATGGAATATTAGTAAATGTCTCCCATTAGTGATACTTCAGATGAAAGACACTCGGCATTTTTCCCCCAGTGTCTGTTGCTAGCTCAGCTGCTGAAAAAGTAGTAATAAATGAAAATCAAGTGAAATGAAAGCATGCTGCTCTGAAGAGTACATTATAGAAACCAGGGTATACACTACTCAATAAGAGTGTTTCTTTGTTAGACAGTTAATGATGACAAAGGTAAGGTGCAGTCGGGGGTTGGCCACTTACCTTTTTTCTGAGTTTACACATTTCAGCTATAAATATCAAGTAGGCCTCCCCCACCACTCCTCCTCTGCCACATCAGCCATTTGGATTCCTCCCGAAGAAACGTTTCAACACGCTTTCCTTCCCTGCATGGCAGAGGCAGAGGGTCAGAAGTCACTTCCTAGCTGGCTAAGCCAAGCATCAGGAAGGCAGAAAGCTAGCACACAGCTTCACACTCGTGGTCTCTATGTGCCCATCCAGACGGTAAGTGTGAGAGAGAAGCAGTGACTGGGTCCTAACGCTGCCCTGGGAGAGAAGCAGGACACACACATTTCACTGCTGTCAGGGCACTGCTGCAGCTGCGCAGACATGTTGACTTAGAACACCGCTCATCAGCATAGAGGCCTGAAAGCTTCCTGGACTCACAGAGTACCTATCAAGGCCTATTTATCCTTTCTATCAGAGCCATTATCCTTGGAGGATGGAGAGAACAAAAGCAGCAAAAACCTCACTGTCACTAATCCATGTCCCGGGACAGACACTCAGGAAACAGTTGTAACTGTCTCTATCGAAAGAACCTAGCACTTGCCTCTCACACAGAACTATCTAGCAAATATTCTGTCTCATTCATACAAAGGGCAGTATGCCCAAATCTAAGGCCTTTCCTCTGCTAGGGACGGTCACTCATTCTGCTGACACTGTGTTTGAAAGCATGTTGCTCATCACTTCCAGACAGCTTCATATCAATAGTTACACCATTGTGCAAGGACAGCTGCACCTGTCAGGCACCTGACAGCTCTCCAGGAGAAACAAGTAGACCATACAACCCGTCTGTGCCATTTCCAATGATACATTTGTGCTCAAAAGCAAGCTTGAGGCTTCCAGACCAAATGTACATATTTAACAGTGTTACTTTAGGATGTTGGGCTTAAATAAACATGTTCTCACTGATACATACAGTCACAAAGGTTATTGAGATCTAACCTATGATATTCTGTGCACAATAACAATTGAGTAGACTTGGAGTCAGTGGAAAAGTTCATTTCATTTTTCTTTCCCACAAACTGTTGTAGAATCTTCACTTCCATTTAAGGTAACTTTCTTTCTCCTGTCTAAGAGTATTCCAGCTGTGTTCCAACATTCCCTTGCCTAAACCCTTGGCAAATGAATGTTTTCAGGGAAGAGCACAGACTGGGCTTAGCAGTTAAGTCCTTGTTTGTTCCTTATTTGTATTCAAGCAGTCTATTAAGGTAGGGCTTTTGAGTGTTCAGTACAGGTATGTGGACTAGACTGTCTTGATCAGTTTAGTTTTGTCTACCCAGTACCAAAATATTCATCTACATTGGAAACTTTCATCACATGTCTCTTGGAATACTGACTATATTATGCCATCTTGTTCAAAATAGTCTTCTACCCATCTAAGTGATGAGATCTTCCCAGCTGCTAAGTGGGTCCTAGTCTGTACCCAAATTCAGATGCCATAAATGAATGGTTAGTGTTTTAATTCCAGTTTTCAATATCCTAACCCAACACTGATATATTAGATTACTAATGCACGTGCCCAAGTATTATGCTGTAATATGTGTTTGATCGTTCCTGCCAGTGCTAAAAAATATAGCAAGAATTGACTACATTAATATCTCTGTTAGGTGATTAATTTCTAAGTAACTTTTTCATAGTTTGATGCCTCCTTCATGCTGTACAGTAACTTAAATCATGTTTCTTCTATTTGAGATACAGCAAGCTCTGTGCCTCTTTGAAAGAGGCAAAAAGAACAAGAGACCCTGACATCCTTCGTACTTCTTTGGGTTTCTTTGGGTTTGAGTTTTGGTTTTTTTAAATTGTGGAGCAAGAATTCATCTAACTCTATAAAATTTTCTTGGACCCTATCAGTAGGCAGGGGTCGTGCACACTTTTAATCCCAGCACATGGGAGGCAGAAGCTGGCGAATCTCTTGAGTTCAAGGCCAGCCTCGTCTACAGAGCAAGTTCCAGGACAGCCAGAGCTACACTGACAAACCCTGTCTTGGAAAAAGAAAAGAAATGGGGGAAAAATTATCTCTTATTGAAATGGCAAGTGTGGTAGATATATTCCAAGCACCCCACCCGCTATGACCGGTCTTTGAGATTTCCTTAGATCCTGTCTGTAGGAGGAAATCACTTGTGCAACCTTTCCTCAGTCAGTCATCTGTCTGTTTTAGCAGCAAGAAGGCAGTCTCACTGAAATAAGAAAGATTCCATTCCTCATTCCTATTAGTAATCTCTGACGTTCTCAAAGGGGAAACAATAATTGCAAACAACTACAGGTTACTTACAAAAAGAATTTTTTCTTTTATATGTATTTGGCAGTTTTAAGACAGTGATATGCATATATCAAAAATGCATATACCAAAATGAAAGAAATGATATGCATATACCAAAAATGAAAGAAATGCATATCTTTTTTCCTCCAGTCTGAGTTCTCCAGCATTGAGGTCAATTAGCAGAGTACTAGTTGCCAATATGGTGCATTTACAGTCTTAAATAGTTAAGGGCTGATGATTTATAGTCCTAAATAGTTAAGGTACTGTCCTGTCAGGACTTAGTCAGTGCCACTTCATGCAGAAGAAAGGACCAGTTAAAACTAAGGTACTTCTGCCCACTGGAAAGCCTTTTGACTCAGCTGTAGAAAAAGCAGTGGCCAGTTTTAAATAGTAGAGCTTTTATGATCCTGTGTTAATGAAATGTCACACATCAGTGACCTGGGACTGGAGCTACTACCATGTTTGTATTTGTGTTGAAAATAAATTAGAATATATCCAATATAACTACCTCAACCTCTTTTGATACAGAGAAATTACAAAGGTTAACAAGCTTTACTATCCAAACCCAGTTGCTCCTAAGTTGCTTAACTCCATCCAGAGTAAAATTTTTCACTATGCATTCCCACTTTATAAATGACACAATTTTTTTCCTCCTAACTAATAGAGTATAGCACACAGTAAAGAACTTGACAGGAGCCCCTAAGGAGACAGCTTCTCTTTTTTCCTGCACACTGTTAATAGAATAAAAAGGTTAAAGAAGTCATCACATTTGTCAGGTCACTTTTTTGAATTGGTTAGGATTATAAAATTAGAAGCACTGTTTGGGTAGAGAGGGCAATGGTTCGAGTTGATAGAAATTTTGTTATGCCTACTAATTGTTTTATCTTTCTCACAACACTTACTTACAAGTTACTTGTGTGAAATTGTGATAAATGATAAACTTGCCTTATTGATTCTTATTGACATTTTACGTGTTCCTAGTGCATTTTTTAACCTCCATTTGGAAACTGCCAGCTTGGCACACATTCCTTAGATAATATGAGCAAATGACATGAATATAACAATCTTAGTGACCACTAAAGCAGATTTGGTCCGTCCGTGTTTTGTATGCTCTCAAACATACTCTGCTAGGGGATTTGGCCTTCACTGTAGTCTCAAGGCAAGAAGTGGAAGAATTAAAATCTCTTAGTCTTATTTTCTCTGAAATTTCAGTGATGATCATTTTGAAGAGGTGTTACTTTGAAGCAGATGATAAATTTCAGGCTATAATTTCAGACCTTAGCATCAATATGGAGTCCAGTAGAGGCACTGTCATCTATCTCACTGTTACACACATGGTCTAGACACCTGAGACAGAGAAGGCCATTGTTTTTATGGATGACATGCTACAGCCTTGTCGAGGTACATGCAACATGTTTAAATAGTAGGCTTTGTCACTGCTGTCTGTCAGAGAACTACATGCAACAGCTCAGTACTCAAGCAAGCTGGACTTATTGCTTGTTGCTTAATATCTTCTCAACTAATAAGGGAATGTGGGATGACCTTCTTGTATATTTGGAACTTTTCATAACATGTTGCTAAAAAAATATACATTTAGTTCCTTTTATGACTGGATGCCATTGTACATTGGGAATAGTAGACAGGTACTGCTTTCTCTTAATGTTATTTGACTAAAAGGCACTACAGCAGTATCGATTTGATATTCTCACCAGGTATACAGTGCAGGACAAAAGAAAATGTATTTATGACTGACTAATTTACATAAACCAAACAATCTGCTGGTTGTTTGAATGTAGAATGTTCTGTTTTGTTTATTGGCCACAGGGGCAACAATCTCATACTGCTGATGCCAGAATTCTGTTTTCATGCATTTGCTCTGAAATGACAATAAGCTTCAGCCTCTCAGTGTTTAGATCTGCTTCATTGGGAAATCTTTTAAGTAGTAATAATAATAATGTTTTGAGGAAATTGAGTGGAACACTAAATTATTTGCTGATACCTAAGTTCAAACTGTGCAAGGCTAAAGAAGCTGAAAATCAATGCACTTTTAAAGTCATTAGAGATCATAAATGAAATAAGTCTGCATTGCTTTAGCTAAGCTTTTAGTGTGCTGTGGTATTATTATAAAATCAGCCTAAATCTGCATTAATTTCACAGCCTTTTTCTCTAAGAAGCCCAAGGGTACATGATGAATAAAATGTAAATTTCACAAGGCAGTGTTTTTATTAGTACAAAGAGCAATGAGCCATGGACTTCAAGTGGTGACCTGCATGGTGGCCAGTGCTGCCATCTGAAGCAGGAACCAGCTCTTTAGATGCTAACTATTTTATAGCACTAAATAAAATAAACACAGGAAGCTTTATAGATCTCATAGTAGACGTTCAGAGAAATGTACATTGTCTTGTGTGTGTTAAACTTTAGGTCAAATCTCTGATTTCTTTCAGAAAGTTACAACTTCCAAAGTCATGAAAATTTTGTACAAATTACAGTTTTTATAATTTATTTCATATGCACTGTTGAATTTTCTCAGAGTAATAGTTTATTTTAATAATTGGTAACTACTACTTTGTAATAGATTTGGTACATTTGTTTACATTTGACTAGCATCAACTCATATTTATATGTTTTTAACTGTCCAAGATGAATTAGATATTTTTATTTGTTAACATTTTGAGCTCTTGAAATTTATTTGCTAATTTACCCTTGGTGTGATGAATTCTTTATTTCTTAAAATTCAGTGATGCATTTTGAAATACAAAGTCCTATTTACAGTGTGTGCATGCTGTCAGTGTAGAGATCATCAGCCAAAGAGAAGATATAAAGTAGCCCACTTTTTACTTAGAAAATGCAACTTACCTCTTGCTACTTTCAAACCTTGTGGGGGGAAAATATGCTACATGCTCCCTAATTCCCTTAAGAAAGGAAGAAAGAAAGAAAGAAAGAAAGAAAGAAAGAAAGAAAGAAAGAAAGAAAGAAAGAAAGAAAGAAAGAGCGAGCTAATGAATAAATTGTTCTGCTTTGGTCAGATTAGCAATTCAGCACTGTGAATAAAAAAACAAAATAAGATAAAACCAAAGAGAGAAGCTGTTTATTTTTATGTACTACTGAGAACAGTGTCGTCTTGTGGCAGTTCTCGTAGACTGTGTTGGTTTAACAAGCGTCCAACCCTTTTGTCTTGTTGTTTTTTGTCTTTCCTGCTCCCTGTCCCCTTGTTTCCCACAGGCTGTGCGTTTGTCACATTTTCTACAAGGGCAATGGCACAGAATGCAATCAAAGCCATGCATCAGTCTCAGACCATGGAGGTACTGTATCATCTGCCCTTTCTTTGTTTTCTTTGTGCAAATGATGGGGAATGGTAAAACAGTTCTCTCTTGTGTGGATTGTTCACATGACAATCACAGACTTAAGCTCTCACTGGTTCGCTTTTCATTCACTCATATTCACACCTCTCTCTCTCTCTCCCTCTCCCTCTCTCTCTCTCTCTCTCTCTCTCTCTCTCTCTCTCTCTCTCTCTCTCCTTCCCTCCCTCCCTCCCTCTCTCTTCCTCCCTTCCTCCCTCTCTCCTCACGTGGTTACCTCTTTTCTCTTTCCACTTGCATTTCCCCCTAATAACTTGAAATGTACTTTAGCGAAACCTTCTACTTGCCCTGCAGCTGTCTTTTGAGCCTTTATTGGAGTAACACAGATCCTGAGATATGAGACAAAGTGTCGTTATGGGCCTAGAGGATCGAACACATACCCCACAGAAGGGTTGGTATGGACTATGCTAAGCAACCACCACCTCAGGTCCCTACTGTAACAAATCGCCTGATTAAAAGTCTTAATATAGTCATCTCAAGAATTTTGAAGAAAATTAATAATTCTCCTGTTTATCAGTGAACTGTTAATTTTCAGTCTCCTGAGTAATCAGATTGGTTCCCTTACTTAAAAGTAAATAACAAATACCCAGGCTCAAATCCAATCTCCTAAGAAGTTGTGACTTGGGGAACAGGAGACTCAGCAATGTGAAATCTGCCACAGGTGGAGAGGCACGCTCTCTGCTTGCTCTGTGATTTGGGTCTTGATCTTTCAGAATTCTGCACAAGAACATTCCAGAAGTGACATGCCATCACTTCCTCCGTCCTTTTCGATAGGATCATTTGAGAGTGCATGTGCTGCTGTGTTACGTACACCGTGTCTGTGTGGGTGGTTCTCTCTAGACGTGGTGGCCTGTGCTGTTACAGGAAGCTGTGGTTTCCTGTTTGAACAAATTTTTTTTCAGTTTTATTTAATGTGCAAAACAATAGTAATTGTTTGAGCTTCTTTTTTTTAATTCCCCTTTGATTGGGATTTTAATTTTTGGTTTGTTTGTTTGTTTGTTTGTTTGTTTTTGCAATGCTGCATCTTCCAAAGCATGCTGGGAGCTAAGTGATCATTATGCGTCATGTTCTATGGGAAACTTCTTTCTATTAATTCAGAAGGTGGGTGGAAGGGGTGGAAGGGGTGTGCATGGCATTGTCACTAAGTGTTTACTGTACTTTTTTGAGTTGTGACATCAGCATTGCAAAGCCTATTGTCTTTTTTTGAGCATTCATTTTGACTTTGATATTCCTAATATATATATATATATATATAATTAATGTGTTTTCCTTGCAGTGCAATGCATTTTTAGGAAAATCCCACCCCCTACCTGAAGGCAAACTCAGGCGAGAATCGAACATGGTAGAAAATGATAAGCAGGACTCCAGTCTTGTATGCCTTGCCGTCACATTCCTCCTGTTCTGCCTCCTTTTACTTATAGGCTGCTCTAAATGTGTGGATTTCCAGCTATTTTTCAGCTTAGCCATTAAAATGAATGTGCTGTTAAAAAAAAAAAAAGTCCTCATATGTACTTATTTACATATATGCATTTAGCTCTTTTTATTTCCTATAATTGAGGAATTTATACCAAGATTGACCTCCCCTTAGATAAGGTTTTAAAGTTCTTTTGACACTTACGAGCTGCCATCCCCACATGAGTTCATAGAGAATGCTGACACAGTCTGAGTCTCTCAGTTCTACTGCCCAAGAGCTCAGGACACAAGGCAGAAGTGGGCATGAACCAAACCATGGGAGGCTTTCGTGCAGAGAACACTGTGAGGCTGGCATGGGTGTGTTCTTCAGATCAGTTTGTATGCTCCTCTTTGAAACTGGATACCGATGATTAAACCAAGGACCCTCAGTTCCATTTACAAATTTTGACCTCTAAACAGAACATTACATACCACGCAGTTCTACTATAATCACACAACTAGAGGTGTTTGGTTGAGTTTTAACTAATTACATTATTTTCAGGACTTTGGTATACATCTTTAAGCAAGACAGTATTATTTAACTTACAGTGATGTGAATGTTCAAAGATTTGTTTTTAAAACATGCATATAGTATCTGTTACCCTTTTTTTTTTTACACAGTCCCCACTTGTTTTTCCCTCATGACTTGAACAGGTCACTTTTAAAGCTACAGCTGTTTACCTAATTTCATGCTTTTACATCCTTTTTCACATTTAAGAATGAAAACCCAATAAAAGTCCTATTATGAGAAGATGCTGTTGTTCATCCTGGAACACTTCGAGGCAGCAGTAGAACCCTCGCTCTCCATGCAAAACCTCGCTGTGTTGTTTTCATGTTCAGAATATTTTGCTCTCTTTTAAGAAGTAGTAAAGTACTGAAATATGAAGCAGATAAAAATGTATTGGATTTTTTAATGAGGGAAATGTTATTATTATGTAATTTATTGCCATTTAACATTCTGTCCCATGATTCTGCCTTCAAGAGCTATAGGTTGATCAGAACTTCTACACTAAAACAAATACCTCACTTTTCTTACATTCTTAACTAACAGACTTGATAGCCTAATGTAATTCATAGCTAAATTCTCAGTAACTACCCAAAGTGATAAAGAAAAACAGGCAAGCTTATCTTTTAGAATAAAAATGACCTAATGGGAATGGAAGGAAAAAGTTCATTTAAATAGGAATATATCTTTTGTGAGAGAAGTCTATTATCACATAATAAGATTTTGTTTAATCACTTGGGTAGAAATACCTTTTTTAAAAAGCTCCACAGAATGTAAGAGAATGGTGATGGCATGTGCTCTGTGCTCCATACCAAGGACAGAAGGCTGGGGAACAGGGGTGCTTTTCAGCTGAGTTCTTACCAAGAAGCAGATGTCTTAAAGGTGCTCGGGATAGGACCATCCTGCTTGAAGTAGTAGGCTAATATTTTCCCAAAGATAGTATCTAACTCAAAATTAATTTACTTTATTAGATGGGCTTTGACCATTTTTTTCTCACTATTCTTACTCCTTACCTTTTAAAGGAAATTAAAACTGAATGAGACTTGTCAAATGGTGAGATTAATAGAGAAAAGGAACTGTGTAGAATCCTACCTTTAAGATCCATCACTTTGACTAGATAGGACGTGCTTCTGAATCTTTTGGTTTGCTCTGGGGACTTTGGACAGAACAGAAGTAACATGGATGGAGGAAAAGAGACCTCTGAGACCATGTGCATAATTACTTTGATCCGTGCCCAGTTTTCCATCTCTCTGTCTTTCATCCATGTTTCTAAATGGAAATCACTTCTTTCTTTTATTGTGTCAAAATTATTTTCACCGTTCCAGTGTTCAGAAATATATACTGAAATTAAATAATAGTAAAAATGAGTGAGATATTTTCATTCCAGTTGTGATTTCCCTTTATCCTCTACCTATATATAGAAATGGCAGACACACAAAGACAAGGCTATCTTTAAGTCAAGCAAACCATGAGGCTTAATTAAAGATAAGGTCTTTGTCTTGAGGGAAGTCCTGAAGGAAGTTGAAGGAAGACACATGAAATGAGGAGAGACAATGTAATATCAAACCAAGAAAGCAAGTGGCTTCAGCAACAGGTCCCTTTAAAGAAACCAGTGGCAGTATATGGAGTTTTCTGTTGATGGTACATTCAGAGAAGAAGGAATATCAAACCATCCAAAACCATTCCAGACCATTCCATGTGCTCCAAGATAGCTAAGAAAGATAAATCCAATGATGACTGAACATTACAGAGGGATTCAGGCTGTACCATCATCTTCACTTTCCGATGTCTGCCCACAGGGCTGCTCTTCACCTATCGTGGTGAAGTTTGCTGACACTCAGAAGGACAAAGAGCAAAGGCGCCTCCAGCAGCAGCTTGCACAGCAGATGCAACAGCTCAACACTGCCACTTGGGGGAACCTGACAGGGCTGGGTGGACTTACCCCACAGTACCTGGCGGTAAGTGCCCAAGAACATGGGTCTCTGTGTGCGATCCATGAAGGAACAGAACACCAAGTCCAAAACTGTCTGTTCAAAGCTACTAAAAGTGTGCCAGAATTTTACTTTCTATACATTTCGAGTCCCAGAAATTATGAAATCAGCATTAGGACACGTCTTATTAATCAAATTGACTAGCAAAAGAATGTGCCTAATTTAACTGTGGACTGTTTGCAGCTGACTAAAACTAGACTTCTAAACAGTATTTTAAGGCACAGTAAAAAGCCTGTGCTAGAAGTGCTGCATGCTTGAAAACTGTTCATCTAAACTCTAGATTCTAAAGCTTCCAAGAGAATGGGCCAAGAGCTTGCCAGCTGGCAGGTTAGTACTACTCTAGTAGTAAGGGAGACTTCAGTCTTCAGCCCAGCTCTTTCCTGTGAAGCAGTATTGATAGATGAAGTGAATGTTCCCTTTGTAGGCCAAACAGACTCAGTTCTTTGAGCCATCTCTTAGATTTTTCAGTTTCTGCTCATTTCCTCTGTATTAAGCATCTCTCTGTCATTGTCTTTATTGAGATATAGTGGCAAGAGTTTACGACAGTCCCCTCTTAAGATGTAAGCTAACTGAAGAGTGAGCCCAGGCATGGCCTTTAGAACCTTCCAGTAGCTGTGGGTGGCCGCCTTTGTAGAAACTGCCCACATGGCTGGGAGGCAGTGAGCAGCCTGCTTCTCCATACTACGTGTTTATTAATCACGTTTCATTTGGGGATTTTCTGTTCTGAGAGTGTTAGCAAGGACATGTGCATGTTCTTTCTAATTCTATCACTTTACATTTTCCCTACTCCTCACAGGAGTATATCATCCATGGGCTTTACTCTGTAGCAGAAGCCATACTGTTTTGTAAGACCCTCTTCTCTACTGCTCTGAAAGGAAAGATTAGGAAGGGGGCCCAAGGAGACCTCCATCGCACAGCTGCTAGTGTCTATGGGCCTTCAGGAACTTAGTTTCAGCCTTTATCTCCACCACTGACACCTCCCTCCCCAGCAGAGTCTGCCATGTAAAGAGGCTGATCAGTAAAGAATGAGTGAATGTATAAGTGAGTGAATAAATGAATTAGTGAATGAATGAGAAGCATGCTTTTCCTGTCTTCATTTGAGCCAGTAAAAGAGTGACTACATCTACTGTCATTTTCTAGCTGTTTCTCTACCTTATCCTTAAAGATACCGTGTATATCTTTGCCAGGTGTCTTGCTTAAATCTACATATATGTACTGCCATGCTTTTTTCCTAGTCTGTCGTCTGGTGATTTTATTTCCAAAAAAAGAACATAGCCTGTACCCTAGAACTACTCTGTTTTCTACCCCCACCCCAATATTTTTTCTTTTACCAAAGTAATCAGTATTCTAATTCACTTTTTACCTTTTTAAAACTTTCTGAGACTCTAATGTTTTTCCCTTCCCTGACTAGCCTCCAAACCCTCCTATATACCCCCTCTCTTTCAAAGTCATAGCCTCTTTTTTTTACTGTTATTGTATGTCTATAACAATATCCATATCTCGCAAATGTATGTATGTATGTATGTATGTATGTATGTATGTATGTATGTATTCCTAAATAGAACCTGTATTATTTTTCAGGGCTGTTTGGCATTGGACAGCCAGTCAGTGTGCTCTTCCCTGGGAGGAACCGCCTCTCCTTCGGCCAGCTCTCTGCACTTGCCTATGGTTTTTAAGTAGAGTTGAGGCCTCACAGGTTTTTCCGCATCCAGTTTGACATATCTGTTGGTGTCACCCTTGTTGAGCTCACATTTGGCCAGACATTATGGATGGAGCTAGACAACCTGCAGCTATACCTCTGTATTGTGCACTGAGGTATACAGTTATTAAAAAGTCAGTTACAGGCCATCAGCTTAATGATATGCACCTAAATGTTTATTCAAGGCTAACATCATGCTTGCTTTTTTATACTTTCTATGAGTCCAGATTCTTGTTCTACCAGGACTGAAAACTAAGGCATAGGTACCTGCCCCAGTATTAGGACATGTTTCCTTTGCTCCACAGCTCACAGAAAGTTCTGGGATGGGTTTCTGTGACCCCATGTGAAAATTATTCTCCTTACCTGAAAAAGAATAAAACTTAGCCCCAGTTATAGAACTGCATTTATCAACTGTGCATAGGTTTTCTCGTGTCCTGATATCAGTGTGTCTCCGCCATCCTTCTCCACTTGTCACTCAAAAGTCTTGTCTGAAAGAGCTGCGGGCCCTGAAGGCACTCCCCACTTCCATGGAAAACCAGAGTCCAAGCCTGTAATTATTGGTGATTGCTTCTTGACTTTCCAGATAGTCTGCTTAACTGAACAGGTGTTACTACCTCCATAAAATACCTTCAAATCTGCTTTTACAACTTGAATTTTAAAAAAGAAAAAAAAAACAATATATACTATGAAGTGAGGGCTGCCACTTTTAAACACAAATGGATGAGAAACTCAACAAATCAAACCAAAATAAGATTTTCTTGTATTAAAATAGGTAATCCCTAGGTTTTCTCATCTCTCTTGCTGTTTTCCACTTCCTGTGTGTGTTTGAGAACAGGCTTGTATGTATGCAACTGTATTTTTCCCTACATTAAACTTTATCTTTATTGATGTATCTTACAAAAAGAAGAATTTCTTTATATCTAATTAGTGTCTTAAATGGGTCCTAAATTAGCTTGTAGTTCAGCTAATATGAACAAGAACATTTCAGAACTGAAACTATGTGCCTTTATGGTGTGACACCCACTGATTCTGCACAGCAGACAGTGGGTTTTTGAAAGTGGAAAATGAAGACTATCATAGGCATAGTAATTAATATCTTTGTAAAGATCTTGACATACCTAAAATACACAGATTCAGTATATACCAGATAATTCCAGATTTTGACAAATACTTTGCTTTTCTGCTAGTAAAGACCATCTTAAGAATAACTGGCCACTTGCTTGGCCATGGGGCTCTGACTGTCACTGCAAATAGATGCTTTTGGGTCTGCAGTCATTATGGTTCTCAGCATTGTTTTGAGTCTGTACATACATGTGCTTCTAGCTGGGGAGCTATTAGCACTTAGTAGCTGTTGGGGAAAGAAGGCCTTTTTTTGTTGGTGCATGGCCCCTGATAAGTTGCCTGTGCTCCATGGCAAGTCCCACACCCATTCACCATGTGCATATGGATGACATATTAAAAATATATATATATATATATGAGATCCAGGGGGGATTCATAGAAGGGATTAGTGAGGTCACAGGGGGAAAGTGGTGGTCAAGGTATGTTGTACACATGCATGAAGTTCTTAAAGAATAAATACTTTTAACTGTCATTTAAGAAAGAATAAAGGAAAGACTGAGCTGGGAAGGAAAGTAGAAGAGAGGAAAAAATGGACCCTGATTGACAGAGATGAGTTACAGCAGCTTCTAGACTGCAGAGAGTTAGAACGAATCATGCTTTGTTGGTCTCAAAATTTAGCACTGGTTGTTGAAGAGAGTAAATAGATTAGTTGTTCTAAGGTCTTAGTTCTCCTAGTGTCTGTGTTTCTCAGTGGAGATTAGACATTAATATGGATTTACACCCCTAACTCTGGGCACCTTCAGCCCATCAACAGGGAGTGGCAACTATATAAATGTAAAGGAAACTAAATTTGTACCCAATATAATGAGGGACTGCCTGGTCTCCACATTGTTCTGACTGAGCTCCTGTGTTCTTTTGCAGCTTCTGCAACAGGCCACCTCCTCCAGCAACCTGGGTGCATTCAGTGGCATTCAGCAAATGGCTGGTAAGTCATGAAACACGCTAGTCCCTTTGTCCATACTAGTTTCTGAATTGTTGGTTGTTTCAAAGCATAAAGGAACAAGGCAAAGGATCAGAGTAAAGAGTAATTAGCAGATAAGCTAGCATTTGTATCTTGGGTATTAAAGTTGGAATCAGCTGCTCTGAACTGTTCTCCTGCCTTTACATTTATCATCAGAGCTCACCCTGCAGAACAGTTATGAGGGAGGCTACAGACTTCTGCAAAATATATTCGTTAGTTATTTGTGGGATTTTTGTTAATGTGATGATAACTGGGAGATTTCTGGCAATATTCCTATATCTAAGGGCAGATGAAATGATTAACATCTCCAAAATTTTTTAATAATAGGTGATCAATAAAAATGTTCTGACCTCCATAACAAAAGTCAAGATCACCAGCATACATTTGATACAGTTTGTAGTCCCTTGATAATGACAGACAATTAACACAGCACCTTTCTTAAACTTTAGTACCCAATTAACAGAATTGTGCATCAGAAGCTTTTATGTAAAAGTATAATCTTTGTTCTCAGAAAAATCAAAGTGTTACTGAATTTGAAAAGCAGCTTATTGAAGGATTCCTTTTCATAATGAGCTGTGCCAGTAGCTGCAGCAACTCGGTGATTAGTGAAAGGTCAGCGCTCCTTGCCACCTTCCATGCTGACACCTACCCTAGCTCAGGGCCAGAGAGGCAGTGTGCACAGGAAATCAGAATGCAGGAGGATCAGGAGAAAGCTTTCTCCTTGTTTGATTCCAAAAGGGTAGGTGTGGGGAAAGACAAAGAAGAGATTGAGGGAGGCGTGTTAGAAGGAAATGGTTTTCTTTAAGGATGCCCCTAATTAATTAAGTAAAATCCACATGTATAAAATAAAAACCAGTTTTAGTTATGTATCACTATAGAAACTCGTCTTTTCCAATTAATTTTTTTCCCCAAATATATACCTTTAGTTGGTTTTGGCAGTGGTGATGTTTATTCTGAAAGATTTCTCTCCACTTGTGTTCTGTGAGGAACAGCCCAGTGTTCTGTTGTGGTCCACAAGGTAAGGGCAATTTGTCAGATTGTATAATTTATTCAGATCTATTGCTATCACTGTAATATAGCTTTTAGATTATTCAAAATACACATTTTGAAATGATAAATAGTAAAATGTTTGCAATTATATTTAAGAAAACGTGTTAGGATGCTGGCCTTAGAACTAACAATCACGTTGACTGGTTAATGTGTCTAATCTGTGAAGGAAACTAGAGAGTATTAGTAAAATATTCAAGGGAGTTGCTATGCTTTGAAAGGAAAAGAAAAAACTCTGAGTTGTAAGCTGCTAAAGTACATGCTGACATTGTCACATTTGAACAGTGGGAGGGGTGTGTCTCTTCTAGTAGCACAGACCCACCAGATTGAAACCTAGGGGTTTTCCTCAGTGGCAGCCTTGAGCTCCCCTACCCCAGAGCTGCACTATGCAGAAAAGGTTGTTTGTTCCTGAGGCTGTTGCCCAGCATGCCTTCCCAGGTAGACGGAATGCCCTGCCATTTTTCATTAGGATGTGTGTGCCTCTGCCATGCCAGCTACAGGTGGAGATCTTAGCATTCACATGTTCTGTGTGCTCATTTGAAAACTAAGATTATCTAGGAATCCCCTTAAAAGGTGTCATGGAGCAGACAGCTAATTTAAAGACATTCTGTAAATGCTCTGGGGTTTCCAAAATATCTGTTTCTTGAAGCTTCATTATGGTGAATGCAATCAAATACTGAACAGTCCATTGTGTGCCAACATCTAAAATACGTATCACACCACTTTTTATGTAACTTTATAAAAGAACTTCTCACTTAAATAAGTGATCAAGTTTCATCTTTCTAAGTATTTAAGCATTTAGGGTATTTTTTTTCAATAAAGTAATGAGATGTCTTGTCCGAATAGGACTTAACTTTGGGAGGACTTACTTTCTGCTCTTGCCATTTACCTCCCACAGCATATGGGGTGATCATGGTGGATGGTGACATAGACTGCTTGCTCATTTTGTTGCTGTTCTCTTGTAGTGAAGAGACACCACAACCAAGGTGACTTTTAAAAGAAGCATTTAACTGGGGACTTGTTTACAGTTTCAGAGGATTAGACCATGATCATCATGGTGGAAAGCATGATGGCAGGCAGGCATGCCACTGGAGAATGAGCTGAGAGCTTACATCTGCTACATAAGCACTATGCAGTTGTGACTGGGCCTGACATGGGCTTCTGAAACCTCCAAGAGCATCCCTTCCAAAACAGTGCACCAACTGGGAAGCAAATGTTCAAATGTCTGAGCCCATGGGAGCCAGTCTCATTCTGGCCACCACACTGCCTAACTCCCCAGCTTCCCTTACCAGAGTGCCTCTAATACCTCAATTGGGTCAGTGCTCAAGGGCACGCTGCATTCTTGGAGAGCAAGGCCTGGCCCAGTGGCTTAATGGCACAGCCAGTCTTCCTGTAAAGGTGCTAGAGACCATCTCTGAATAGATGAGTGAAAGTCTGTGACTTGACAGATGTAAATTTGTATTTTGGATTCATTCCCAGCAAAGCCCAAGTCAAATGCCCAGTTTTTTAATTACAAAACTTAGTTTTAGCTGTACATACAAACTGAAAAGCACCAGAAAAACCATTGTTACTATTCAAAATTGCATTACTGAGAGTTTGGAGATAGTTTGTCTAATATAAAGCATGTTACAGAATACATTATAAACCACAAATACAGTAATAGCCATAGCATAATAAAGTTGAGAGAACCCAGGAGGTCATTTAATCCCAGCCCCACCTGCTTTTCAAATGTTTTTTGAATGACTGATAGTGTAAAGGTGGGGGAAACATAAAGTTAAAAGTAAAAGTACACAAATCATACTGCCAAGGAGTGAAACATTTTGAAACCAATTCAACAGCTTTCAGAGCATAAGTCTTTCAGGAGACAGGGATTTTAAAATAGTTTGTCTATTTGAGCAAAACGTTTTTCATTTGAGAAGAGAACAAAGGCAAAAAATAAAACAAAAAAATAAATTTTAAATGACATATTACTAAATAATTCATCAGTAAAGTCTAATTGTTAGACCATAGACCCTGTAGCTAGCTTCATTTCTCTCTCAGTCACAAAAATCAAGCCATAGAGCCCTTAGCTGTTTCTAGTTAAGAAGCTATGCTATATAGTATCCTTGCAGCCCCTCCCTCTTGCTGCTGCAAGGTAAGTTTGAAGTACTTCTTAATAATGCCTGCATCTTGGCATTTACACTAAGCCATACTAAATCATATGGTGTCGGACTTCCCACCACCTCCTGAAAACCTATAGAAATCAGAAAGCTCCTTTTGTCGTTCAGAGCATCTGAAGACTTTCCTTTAACTAACCCCATCATGCTGCATATGGTGGCTGTCTCTCCCTTCAAGGCCCCATCATGTTGTCTTTGGTATGGTATATCTCTCGTAATGGCCTTATAATGCTCATTCTGAAGGGTAGCTTCATAAAGCAAGCTCTTTTCCCAAACCAGATACATCTGGCCTCTATTTTCAGTGTATAGTATAATGAACTATACTTTATACTTTAGCTATATATCACCTATATGTTTTCTTCAAAAAGATGTAAACATTTTCCCTTGAAACTAGAATTTTTTATGATTTTTATAAAAGGGAACCTTTACTAAATATGGGGTTTTATAGCAGAAATGGATTTAGAATCAAATCTTCATCAGCTAAACCCTTTTATGTATATTTACTGTGCTTCTGTAAATGTGAAGGGAGAGAGCCTTCTTTTAATTGATTTGACTTTCCCTTTTAAAACTTCTAACAAAACATATTGATAATCTACTCACCTCTAGTATTTGTTCAATGAATTTTTGAAATTTGATAAGTGTGGGATCTGCATCTTCTTAAGAGTATGTATCTTAGGTGAAGGAGAAAGAACAAAGACCAAGTATCCTTTTGGTCTTTAACTTCTTCATGGCTACTGTGGCACCTTAGAAGACTGTTTAATGAGAAAATTAGAACACTTCACATTCGCTTTAACTTAGATCCTTGGAATATCACACAGTTTCAAGAGTATAAAAGGCAAAATCATGTCTTTATTACACTGCAATCAAAAAAAACAAAAGTATGAAATGGTTAAATGTTCTGTTGAGACCACAGCCAGTGCCATTCAGTAGACTGCTGTGGACTAGGATACAGACCTCCCAAAACCACTTTATGAATGTGTGACCGTTAGCATGCCATTTAAGAAGGGGGCAAGAAGGGCTAACAAACTTAGTGCAAGTCATTGAGTTGTGGGTATGGATCTATATTTCAAACCTAGTTAACCTGATCCAAAACCTGCTCTGTCTGTGCAGTGTGACCCAGCCAGGCCAGGTATGTTTGCACAAACTCAGGCTCCAGTGATGTGCTACACAGATGGCCTAATGACAAGCCCCAACTGATAGTAGAGCCCCACAGCTACTAAAGAACTAGCTGCTCGGAGCAGACAGAAAACTGCCTCCCTTCATTCTGGAAAATGTTTCCAATTTATTAAGGCTGCATATGTCAAACAAGAATATTTTTTAGAACAAGAAGGGTTTTGTGGGTTTTTTGTTTTAGTTTTTGTTTTATGTGCATTGATGTTTTGTCTGCATGTATGTTTATGTGAGGGTGTCAGATCCCTTGGAACCAGAATTACAGACAGTTCTGAACTGCCTCCTGGATGCTGGGAATTGAACCCAGGTCCTTTGGATGAGCAGCCAGTGCTCTTAACCACTGAGCCATCTCTCCAGCCTTTTTTTTTTTTTTAAAGACAGGTTCTTGCCCAGGCTAGCCTCAAACTCAGTATGTGACCAAGAATGACCTTGAACTCATGGCCCTCCTGCTGCTCCCCTCTGAAAAGCTAGGATTACGGGTATGCACCACCACAACCAGTTTCTGTGGTGCTGGATGCAGAACCCAGGGGTTGCCCGTGATAGTCAAGTACTCTACTAACTGAACTATATCCTACCCCTAAAATCAGACAT